TTCCTGTTCTCCAGGTCTCTCCTAGGTAAGCTAGTTCCAGGAAAGGCGCAAAGCTACACAGAGAAACCCTGTCTCGAAAAACCAAAAAAAAAAAAAAAAAGAAGTGCAGACAGGGTCTCATTATAGCCCAGACTGGTGGTCCCCTGTGTCAGCCTCCTGCGTGTTGGAATTGCAGGTTATGTCACCATGCTCAACCCTCCCCCTCAGCTGAGGACCCAACCCAGGGCCTTGGGCTTGCTAGGCAAGCACTCTACCACTGAGCTAAATTCCTAACCCCCCATTTTTTTTTTTTTTTTTTTTTGAGGGCAATTGATTAAAAACCAAGGCAGACAAACTATAAATCTCCCAGTTGCCTGGAGGTGGAGACTGGAGAATGGGGGGAAAGGCCATGCTGTTTGGGATAAGCCAGCGTGGAGGTCCGCTTCATGGCTATCTATACACAGCCACAGGTGGGGGGGGGGGCGATGTTTGGAATTCAGGTAAGGCAGCCCCAAGAGCTAGAGGAAGGAAGCATACTTAGTTCTGGCCAGCATCCAGAAGAACAGACAAAAGAGAGAGAGGGAAAAAGTGTATTCAGGACTAGAAAGGCAGGCTGCCAACCCTGTGGTACCTCACGGCAGCTGGTAGGGATTCCCCTCCCCCCAACGGCTTTTGTAGCTGATTTACTTGTCCATTTGGCTGGTCTGAATGCTTTGTATAATTATATGCTTTGACTTTCTCCAATTGAACACCATTGATTTAAAGATGCACTCCACTCTTGTGGTTCAAGTGATCTTTTCTGTCTGTCGGGCATTGTTCTTGGAGCAAAGAGGATGTCTCCTACATGTAATGCTGTCCATCTCCAAATTCTTTCTGGAACTGAGAATCAAACCCAAGGCCTCAAACATGCTAGGCAAGCAGTCTACCACTGAGCAACATAGTATCTCTTTAGTATTTGCTCATAGTGTTACATGGTTGCAGTTCTAGACTTCATTTGATCCTTGCATTACCTAGATAAAGAAGGGGCACTTCCTTCCTCAGGCAATTCCTGTAGAGTAAAAGGGACTTTAAGAGGCAAGGAGATCTGTGGGTTTTAAGTCCTTGTCTGAAAACCAAAAACAACAGCCAACCAAACAAAAACAAACTGGCGGCCTAGGTAAGAGCATCTCTGGTTTGAGGCCAGCCTAGATAACAGTGAAACCCTGCAACAACAACAACAACAAAGCCGGGCGGTGGTGGAGCATGCCTTTAATCCCAGCACTCGGGAGGCAGAGCCAGGCGGATCTCTGTGAGTTCGAGGCCAGCCTGGGCTACCAAGTGAGTTCCAGGAAAGGAGCAAATGTTCTACAGAGAAACCCTGTCTTGAAAAACCAAAAAAAAAAAAAAAAAGCAAAGCATACAACACAAGGGAACAAGGGCTGGAGAGATGGCTCAAGGTTAAAAGCACTTGTTACTCTTGCAGAGGACCCAGGTTTGGTTCCCAGCACCCACATGGCTGCTCACAGTTCAGAGGGTTCCTGTGCCTTCCACCTCATGCACATTGTGCACATACATATAATTTAAAAAAAAATTAAGGGCTGGAGAGATGGCTTAGTGGTTAAGGACGTGTAGTTCTCTTGCAGAGACCCCGAGTTCCATTCCCAGCACCCATATTAGACAGCTCACAACTGCCTGTTCCAGTTCTGACCTCCACAGTCACCAGATAGGCACGTGGTGCACATATACACAGAAGTCACTCACACCACACATTAAAATAAAAAGAGATTGGGTTGGGGATTTAGTTCAGTGGTAGAGCACTTGCCTAGCAAGTATAAGGCCCTGGGTTTGGTCCTCAGCTCTTGGGGGGGGGGGGGGAGATCTTGTCACAAATGAAACCACTAGGTATGATTGTGTGTGCCTGAAACCTCCACACTTAGAAGAAGAGGCAAAAGGATTAGGAGTTCAAACCCAGCCTTGGCTACTTGCCAGATGACCCTGGAAAGAGAGACCAATTCCTGAAAGTTGTCCTTTCTGTGATGTGTATGACCCTCTCCATTATACACACACACTAATGGTAAATAATTTTTTTTTTTTTTTTTTTTTTTGGTTTTTCGAGGCAGGGTGTCTCTGTGTAGTTTTGGTGCCTGTCCTGGATCTCATTCCGTAGACCAGGCTGGCCTCGAACTCACAGAGATCCACCTGGCTCTGCCTCCCGAGTGCTGGGATTAAAGGCATGTGCCACCACCGCCCAGCGGTAAATACAAATTTTAAAGCAAATTAAAACCCCGGAGCTTATTTGGTAGCGTGCTTACCTAGCATGCCCAAAGCCCTGGGTTTGATCCCTGGTGTAGCATGAACCGGGTGTAAGGGCATAAGGCTGTGATCCTAGCAATCAGGAGGTAGAAGTAGGTGGGTAAGAAGTGAAGGTCATCCTCAGCCAGCCTGGAACAGCTCCTCCCTGGGAGCCCTGGTCTTCACGGCTGTCAGACTCCCTCCTAGTCTGTTATTTACCTGCACAGGAGAATTAGGAAAGCCTGTGATTACCTGGAGGCCACCGTCTGTGGTCCCCATTGTAAGGACCACCCTCCCTCCCAGTCTCCTGGTCTGCCAGAACCCAGCATTCACTGTAGCCGTCCATCTTGACTCGAGTGTGGGTAAGCCAGGCAAGCTATTGGCAGTGTGACTCAGCCGCCACAATCAGTTCTTAATTACAGACTAAGGCTTCCCAAACAGATCCCTTTACTAGACAAAAAAGAGAGAAGTGGTCATGTTTGTATTGGCTTAAATTAATTATTTTCATTAAAGATACCCAGGGAATCCATTGCCCTCTTCCGGCCTCTGAGGGGGCCAGACACCCAATGCACAGATATATATATATGCAAGCAAAACACTCATAAATATACAATTAAATTAATTTAAAAAAAAAGAGTTCAGCATCCTGTTACCATCTGTTACATAAAGGTTCCATTCTCATACCTCTTTATCTTTCCACAAGGAAAGAAATGATGTCAGGAATGATGTTGTGACATTTGGTCCCCCTCCTTTTTTTTTTCGGTTTTTCGAGACAGGGTTTCTCTGTGTGGTTTTGGTGCTTGTCCTGGAACTCACTCTGTACCCCAGGCTGGCCTTAAAACTCAGAGATCCACCTGCCTGTGCCTTCCGAGTGCTGGGATTAAAGGTGTGCGCCAATACTGCCTGGTTTTTTTTCCCTCAGTGCAAGCATCATTTACTTGACAGGTGTCTCTGGTCATTTCTCCTTTCTTCTCAAGCATGTAGCACCACTGGGGCCGCTGTGTCAAGTACAAAGATGGATTGATGAGGGTGGTCTGGGTGCTGAGGTAGAATATGTGTATTGTTTTAGATGATCTTTGACATGAGGAGATAATGTATAAACTTGGTAGTGGAGACTAGGTAACTAAGTGGAGGTCCATGCCTTAGCTGGAGGATTCTGTTTTTTCCTCATTAATTGTCTTTGTGAAAAGGATCTCTATTCATTTATAAGAATCATTTCTTCATGTCTGCCAAGTTGAGAATGGTATATGGTTTACAGTAGGTATCTGCAGAGGCAGTCCAGTGCTGATCAGCTCAGGTTCTGTGTGGAGTTTGAAAGGACTCTCCATTCTGTGTGTGTGTCTGTCTGTCTGTCTGTGTCTGTCTGTCTGTCTGTGTCTGTCTGTCTGTCTATCTTATCTATCTATAACTATATCATTTTTTTCCCCTTGAACCAGGAAAAAAGAAGAAAAGTTGGATTGGATGTACCAGGGTCCTGGTGGGATGGTGAACCGTGATGAGTACCTGCTGGGTCGCCCCATTGACAAGTACGTCTTTGAGAAGATGGAGGAGAAGGAGGCAGGCTGTTCTTCTGAGACAGGACTCCTCCCAGGCTCGATCTTTGCCCCGTCAGGTGCCAATTCCCTTCTTGACATGGCCAGCAAAATCCGGGAAGACCCTCTCTTCCTCATCAGGTACTGCGGGGGGTTGGGAAGGGCTGGGGCTTGGGAAGGGCTGGGCTTGGGAAGGGCTGGGCTTGGGAAGGGCTGGGCTTGGGAAGGGCTGGGCTTGGGAAGGGCTGGGGTTGGGAAGGGCTGTTACAGGGACACCCGGGGACTCTTCCAGGGCTGCTGTTTCTCTTGCTTTATAGCTGCTCCTGTTTTCCATCTCTGTGTCCGTTTGTGCTTCTGGGTGGTGAGAAAGAGTTCCTGTGAGGGTACCTGATGTAGCCATATGGAAAGACACTGGCAAATGTTTCAAGCCAGACAAGATTTATCCACCTATCTTTTTTTATCATTCAATAACTATCTTTATGATATTCATTGATTACATTAATTGTATTGATTTATTACAGTCATGATATTAGGTCCTGATACTGTATCCACCTATCTTTAACCCGTAAATAAAAAAGAGAGGTAAAAGGCTGGGGATACCTTTGCTGGTAAGAGAACGTATCGCTCCTGCCGAGGACCCGAGTTGGGATCCCAGTGCCCATATCGGGTAGCTTAGAGATGGGTGTGGAACTGCAGTTCTAGGGAGAGCCAAAGCCTCTGGCACCCCTGGGCACTAGCACTTACGTACCTCACACTCGGAGTGTGTACACACACACAAATGAAAGATAATAAAAATAATAAAAATTGTATTAAAATAAAAAGGCGGTAGAAGCAAGATGACACTTGCTTGTTCCTTGGAAATCTGGGAAATTGGTGTAGAGCTGACTACGAGGTAAATGTCCCCTTAGCCCCCCACTCCCTTACCATCCTGCTGTAATCATAGCCAGCAAATGACTCTCAGTCCTTTTTCCTTCGTCTCCTTCCTTGCTTTTTTATTTTATTTGTTTGTTTTTGGATGTGTGTATGTTAGTGTATATATGTGCATGTGCATGCTTACCTGTTTGTGGAGGCTGTAAGTCGACATTTAATGCCTTTCTCAATCACTCTTCCTTCTTGGTGTGTGTCTGAGTGTGCATGTGTGTGCGCACATGTGCACACATCCCAGGGTGTGTGTGTTTGGGTCAGAGGGCTACTTTTGGGAGCTGGTTCTCTCCTCCCACCTGTGGGCCTTAGGGATTTGACCTCAGCAGCTGGGTTGGCGTCAGGCTCTTTCAACAGCCCTCTCTGCCTTACTTCGTGAGATAAAGTGTCTCACCAGACCTGGAGCTTGCCGATTCATCGACACTGGCCAGCAAGCCCCAGGACCTTCTGTTGCTGCCTCCGGAGCCCTGGGAGTGTGGCTATGAGCTGCTCTGCTCAGCTTTCTTTACTGTGGTTACTGGTTTTGAGACAGGGTCTTAGTATGTAACCTTGGTCCGCCTGGAGCTCAATATCTAGACTAGGCTGACCTTGAACTCATACCTCTGTCTCCTGATGCTGGGATTAAAGACGTGCTACCACCCTGGCTCACTCAGCTTTTTCCATGGTTTGGGGAGGTGGAATCTGAGGGCCTTCTGCTTGTGTGGCAAGCACTTTCCTGACTGAGCCCACTTACTACCCGTTTTTTTTGCTTATTTGTTTATTTGAAACAAGGTCTTATGTAGTCCAGGCTAGCCTCAAATCCGCCCTGTAGCTGAGTGTGACTGAATTCCCCATCCTCTGATGTGTGTTAGCATGCCCCGCTTTGTGATTTATTGAGACAGTAGCCTTGGCTTTGAATTCGCATCTTCTCTCCTCAGCCTCCTGAGTACTGAGTTCTGCACTATGACACCCAACTCTTCATTAATATTTGCTTGTTATATCCCTAACTTGTTTCCAGATGATATATTTTCAAAATCGTTAAAATTTGAAAACTTTGTGACGTTCCTTGTTATTTATTTATTTTACAATTTTATTTCCTGTGTATGAGTGTTTTCCTGGCATGTGTATCTGTGTGCTGTGTGCATGCCTGGTGCCTGCAGAGGCCAGAAGAAGACTGGAGTTACAGCCAGTTGTAAGCTGCCATGTAGGGGCTGGGACTGGAACCCAGGTCCTCTGGAAGAGCAGCTAGTGCTCTTAACTGCTGAGCCATCTCTCCAGTTCCCAGCACCAATGTGTGTACACACACACACACACACACACACACACACACACACACACACACACATACACATACACACTCCTTAAAAGAAGAACCATTGTGTATACACACACATACTCACACACTCACCTCTCAAAAGAACCATTGTGTATACACATATACACACTTCTCAAAAGAAGAACCATTGTGTATACAAATATACACACTTACACTCACTTCTCAAAGGAAGAACCATCGTGTATACACACACTCACACACTTCTCAAAAGAAGAAACATTGTGTATACACTCACACACTTCTCAAAAGAAGAACCATTGTATATACATACACACACTCACTTCTCAAAAGAAGAACCATTGTGTATACACATATACACACTCACACACTCACTTCTCCAAGGAAGAACTATTGTGTATACACATATACACACACACTCACTTCTCAAAGGAAGAACCATTGTGTATACACATATACACACTTCTCAAAGGAAGAACCATTGTGTATACAAATATACACACTTACACTCACTTCTCAAAGGAAGAACCATTGTGTATACACACACTCACACACCTCTCAAAAGAAGAAACATTGTGTATACACACACACACACACACACACACTTCTCAAAAGAAGAACCATTGTGTATACATACACACACTCACTTCTCAAAAGAAGAACCATTGTGTATACACATATACACACACACTCACTTCTCAAAGGAAGAACCATTGTGTATACACACACACACACACACACACACACACTCACACACTTCTCAAAAGAAGAACCATTGTGTATACACATATACACACTCACACACTCACTTCTCAAAGGAAGAATCATTGTGTATACACACACACACACACTTCTCAAAACAAGAACCATCGTGTATACACACGTACACACTCACACACTCACTTCTCAAAAGAAGAGCCCTTCTGTTGTCTTTATTGCCCAGATGATGGGTCTGTTTTTATGCTAAGCAGTGGAGGTAGTTTTGAAATGTTGCGCTCAGGAGATTTGCAGGTCCACACCGGATGGATTCCTTAACCATGAGGGAAGCCTTGGATGTGAAGCCAAATGCCACGAGATCAAACTCACTGTCATGCATTGTGCTGTCCCCACATCATTTCTCCACAGTATCCCGTCTCGTGTGTGTATTTGCTGGAGTTCTCTGCCTTCCACACCATCCTCTGTACATTTACCACAGTGTAAAGTCTGTGTCTGTGAGATTTCGTTTCGTTTCGTTTCATTTTGTTTTGTTTCAGACAGGTTCTCACTGTGCAGCCCTGGCTTGCCTGTGCATTTGTTTTGAAAAGGGGTTGTTAAATAGAGTTTGCTGCAGAGGATAACACAATTTCCTTTGCAAAAGAAAGAGTCATTAAAATTTTTCCTTCTATTTAGGAAGAAAGAGGAGGAGAAAAAAAGAGAGGTCCTGAACAATCCTGTGAAAATGAAGAAAATCAAAGAGTTGGTAAGTGGTGCATCAAATGTGCACCAAGATGGTGTTGGGGTATGTTTGCACGTGTGTCTGCACTGTGTGCATCGTGTGAACTTGTGGTATCTGAGGAGGTAGGAAATGGGCATCAGATCTCCTGGAACTGGAGTTATGGATGGTTGTGCGTTGTTCTGTGGATCCTAGGAATTGAACCCGGGTCCTCTGGAAGAGCAGTCAGTGCTGTTAAGTGCTGAGCCATCTCTCTAGCCCTCCATCAGCTTCTTAACACTAGGCCATCTTTCCGTTTCCTTTTAGGAAGTAGCCTGGCTTTTATAAATGACTTCTTCCTGGGCTCTTGAGACAGAACTTACTTTGTGGCCCAGGCCAGTCTGGAACTCCAGTCTTCCTTCCTCAACCGGAGTATCATGATTATGAGGCTTAAAATTTTTTGTTTGTGGTTTTTTTTTTTTTTTTTTTTTTGAGCCAGGGTTTCTCTGTGTAGCCCTGGCTATCCTGGAACTCACTCTGTAGACCAGGCTGGCCTCAAACTCAAAGATCTGATTCCCTCTGCCTCTGGAGTGCTGGGATTACAGACGTGCACCTCCACCACCTGGCTCAATTTTTGTTTTTTTTTACATACTATCTCCTGGTGATCTTATGCTAGCTTACCTTAACAGCTTAATTATGGTTGATTTCCTTTTGTTTGGGAAAGAGCTACATGTCTTCAGTTTCTCTTTCTTTTTTCATTTCTTGTGCATGTGCATGGGTATGTTTGCCATGCGCGTGAGTGGTCCTGAAAATTGAACTCCAGTTGTCAGGCTTGGTGGCAAGTGCTGTTAATCAGTGAGTCACAGGCTTGCCAGACGTACGTAATGAGACTTGGTCTCAAAATAATAATAATTTTTAAATGTGGATTCCTTGCTCACTTACCAGAGAGGTTTTTTAGGGGATCTGGAATACATTTGTGCCCAACATGGATGCCCTGACAGTATCCTGGGCCATTTTGTATGTGAGCCGTTCCCTACACCAGGTACTAACTAACAGAGTCTTAGAGCTCTCATGTGGTTATGTTCTGGACATTTCAGTTGCAAATGAGTCTGGAAAAGAAGGAGAAGAAGAAAAAGAAGGAGAAGAAAAAGAAGCACAAGAAACATAAACATAGAAGCTCCAGCAGTGATCGCTCCAGCAGTGAGAGCGAGCACGGCCAGGGCAGGTGAGCGGTGGTGCCAGCCTCCCTCGGCAGACTTCCTACCCATCACTCATCCATCCCACGGGAGGAGCTGAGCACCAGGCACTGGGGGTTGGTGGGGACGGGCAGATGTGCGCTCTGTACTGCAGAGCTGGCCTCTGGCATTCGAGTTCTTTGGAGATGCTAAGTCTGTGTCCTGGTGCACTCTTGGATAGGCTGACATTCGCCTCCCAGATCGTAGGTCCGAACTCCTGACAGGACTCTTTCATCCCAGCTGGAGTCCCCGGGACTGAAGGGGTTTTCTGTAGTCTCTCTTCCTCTTTTTGTAAAAATGGATTAATGGGACCATGTGGGCCCATTCCGCGTCTCCCCGCAGCAGGGACAGTCAGCTCTGTGGCTGCTGACTCACGATTAGTCCCCGGAATAGCAAGCGAGGTGAGAGGAGAATGTGTTCAGGCGCTGAGGCTGAGGGCTCCGCCCACGGCTTTTCACAGGAAAAACTCGACTGTGCTGATGTCTTCCAGCGAAGACAGTCCACATAGAGAGAGGCGCTGCCAAGCAATGGCAGTGCTAGCTGGGCGCTGGGAGAGGCAGCCCTTCTCAGCAGGAGAGGTTCAAACCGGACTCTGTGCCTTTTCTTTTCCAGTGAACGTGTCTATGTTTTAATCTCTTAGATCTCAAAAGAAGATGGCAAATTCCTGTCCTGTTTTGTCCAAAGTCCCTGGATATGGCTTACAGGTAGAGATGTGGGCTTTTCAAAGGGAGTGACTATGGGAATGTGCAGTTTGTCACCCTTGACACTGCAGAGAGCAGGGGAGTTGGAGGGTGGGGCCTGGGGCTGCTGGAGGCTAAGCCTGCTCCTTATCCTTGAACCCTTTGCCTCTTTCGGAGAGTCCTCTAAGTAGAGAAATCACTAGTTGGAGCACTTACCATCCCTCCAAGAACTGCAAGTAATTGACACGAAATGTATACATTTTAATGGCTTTTGACCAACAGCCATCCCTCACTTTTGTATTTTAATTTATTTTTTATTTTTATTTATTTTTTTAGAATTTTTTTAAAGATTTATTTATTTATTATGTATACAGTATTCTGCCTACACACCAGGGAAGGGCACCAGATCAAATTACAGATGGTTATGAGCCACCATGTGGTTGCTGGGAATTGAACTCAGGACCTCAGGAAGAGCAACCAGGGCTCTTAACCTCTGAGCCATCTCTCCAGCCCCGTATTTTAATTTTTGTGAGGTGCTTGGGATGGAACCCAGGCCTTGCATATGCCCAGCAAGTGCTTTGTGAATGAACTACAGCCTCAGCCTTGGTTTTTTTCTTACATTCATTCATTCCTTCATTTGTTTGTTTGTTTATTTGGAGATAGAGTCTCACTGTGTAGCCCTGGCTGTCCTGGAACTCCTTATGTAGACCAGGCTGGCCTTGAACCCACAGACATCCTCCTGCCTCTGCCTGCCCTTTACTGGGATTAAAGCCAGGTATCACCACACCTGGCTTGTTTTGGTCTTTTTTTTTCTTTAAGATTTATATATTTTTTATATTATGTGTATGAGTATTTTTGCCTGCATTTATATGTGCATGCCAGATGAGTGCCTCGTGTCCATGGAAATCAGAAGAGGGTATTGGATCCGCTGGGTCTGAAGTTAAAAATGGTTGTGAGTCACCAGGTAGATGCCAGGAACCAAACCAGGTGCTCTGGGAGAGCAGCAAGTACTCCTAACTCCTGAGCCAACTCTCCAGCCCTGTTTTGTATTTTTGAGAGAATTATGGGAAGGCTAACCTGGATCTCACTGTGGAGCTAAGGCTGGCTGACCTGGAAATTCTAGGTTTCCTGCTTCCACCTCCTGAGTGCTAGGAACACAGTACCCTGACACTTCTGGCTATTTTGTTCTGTGTTCTCATACAGGGTTTACCGTGTAGCCCTGGCTGGTCTACAACTCTGCTTCCAAGTGCTGGGGTTAAAGGTGTGAGCTCTGGGCTCTTGTTCTTTTATTTTTAAGACAGAATCTCAAAAATTTTGACTTCTTCTGCATCCTGAATGCTGGGATTATAAATATGACAGGCAACTCTTAGCTTTTCTGAATAGGATTTCCATATCTAGTTTAAATTAGTCTCAAACTTGATTTTCCTGCCTTTGCCTCCTGAGTTGCTAGGGACAGTATATGTGTACCATTATGCCCAGCTCTTATTTTTTTCCCCTTTCCTTCCTTTAAGACAGAGTCTCAGAATATAATACAAGCTGTCCTTGAACTTACAACCCTCTTACTTTAGCATTCTGAGTACTAGGATTCAGGTATGTGCCCCCCCCCCCCCATGCAGCTGTATCGTCAGCTTGATTCCTCTTGGCAAATTTAAAGAATCTCATTGTTCATTCTTCCCTTGCTGCACTACACTTCTGTTTGAATAGAAAGATTTTCCTATGAATGGTTTCTCCTGTCTTCCTTAATGACATAGGTGAGGGACTCCGACCGGAACCAGGGTTCTCTGATGGCTGAGCAAAGGGAGGTGAAGAACCATTCCCGCTCAAGAAGCTCCTCCCACTCACCCCCCAGACATGCCAGCCGGAAGAGCTCCAAGGAAGAGAGGTCCCGGGACAGGAGGTCTCGATCCCCGGGCAGGAGGTCACGGTCTCCAAGGCCCAGCAGAGCGTGAGTATGGGAGTTCACTGGGAAATAACCTGTGACCCTAAGGGGCTGGTCACAGCAGGTGTTTGGTTTGGGTGATGTTCGTCATTTCCAGTCTTAGATGTCTCAGCTTTATCTCCTCTCCATCATTCTCTTCCCCACCTCACTGTAATTCCATGTGATCATAACGAATCGCATTTGGAGGACTGTATTGTGCTGGCAGAATCTCCCCTCCTTTTTGGGCTTTACTTTTTCTGTATGTGAGTGTAGTGTATGTGCGGTGTATGCACACGTGCGTGGGTAGGTGCACATACTTTGCTTGTGTGGAGATGTGGGATGTCTTCCTGCCACTCTCTCCTCTACTCCATCAAGGCAGTCTCTCCCCTGAACTGGAGCTTTTTTTTTTTTTTTTTTTGGTTTTTCGAGACAGGGTTTCTCTGCGTAGCTTTGCACCTTTCCTGGAGCTCACTTGGTAGCCCAGGCTGGCCTCGAACTCACAGAGATCCGCCTGGCTCTGCCTCCCGAGTGCTGGGATTAAAGGCGTGCGCCACCAACGCCCGGCAAACTGGAGCTTTTTTTCTTTTCTTTTGGCTAGGCTGGAAGCTCACAGTTGCCAGAGATTCTCCTGTCTCCTCCCCACTCAGTGCTGGGGATACAGGCATGCACAGAACTGCCTGGCTTGTTATGAGGGTGCTGGGATTTCAACTCTGGTCCTCAGATTTATCTAGCAAGAAATCTTAACTGCTGAGCCTCCTGGGGCCCTGAGTTACACTTTTAAAAGATTGTGTGTATGTCTACATTTGTGTAACTGCATGCTTTGTGGAGGTCAGAGAACAATTTGAGGGAGTTGGTTCTATCCTCCACCATATGGATTCCCAGAGATTGAACTCAGGTTATCAGGCCTGGTGGCAAGTGCCATTGAACCTTTTTTTTGGCCCCAGCCTGGATTATACTTTTAAGGGAACTAAATTGGTTGAGGTATATACTAATGATACCCATATAAAAGGCTTGTCTCTTCTGTGTTCATTACAGGCATGCCTCTAAGGTAAACAGGAAAGACAGAGATAGCCCATCACCTAAAAAGGAGGTCTACCAGAGGCGGCATGCTTCCGGATACACCAGGTAAGTCAGGAATGTACTAAACGTCAGGTTTTTGTATTTTAATTTGTTTCTCCAAATGAGCACTTTTTAAAAAATTGAACTGTCATTTTTCCCTTTAAAGAGAAATCTGTATATCACAAACTGTGTACAAACTATAACATACCCATTTTAGAAGCAATAGATTTAGATGTCTGACTTTGTTAAGTGGTGACTAATCTGTTCATCACTTTTTGTTGTTGTTGTTGTTCTAACTTCATTTAGGATGAATGCCAGGGAAAAAGACCTACCTATTATATTAGGCTGTTAAGTCAGGTTGCTGGCATCTCGCTTCATCCCAAAGTGGTATATTCTTGGGTTGTATCCATGAATGTGTGTGTCCTGTACACCCCCACTCACACATGGGGAGGTCAGAGGAGGACATCAGACATTGGAATTTTCTTTGGGCCACCAACCAGCCCCCAAATAAAGACATGGAGACTTATTATTAATTATGAATGCTTGGCCTTAGCTTAGGCCTGTCCCCCTAGCTCTTTTAACTTAATTTAACCGGTTTCTATTCATCTACATTTTGCCTCAGGCTTTTTACCTTTCTTTCATTTTGTATTTCCTACTTTCTTGCTTCCTCCGTGTCTGGCTGACTGGCCCAGGCGTTTCCCTGGTCTCTTTTTCTTTCTTTTTTTCCAGCTTAAATTCCTCCTCTCCTGTTCCACTTGTCCCTTCTCCCTCGCTATTGGCCATTCAGCTTTTTATTAGACCAATCAGGTGTCTTAGGCAGGCAAGGTAAAACAGCTATATAATTCAACAAATGTAACATATCTTTACTTAGTTTAATATTCTGCAACATAAACAAATGTAACACATCTTACATAGTTAAACAAATAGTCCACAGCATCCTACCTTACTCACTGAACCAGGTCTTTCACTGAAGTTGGGGCTCAATGATTTGGCTAGGCTAAATGGCCATCCAGTTCCTGGGATTTGCCTATCTTTGCCAATTAATGCCAGGGTTATAGGCATATGTGGTTATGCCCAGATTTTACACTGGTGCTGTGGATTTGAACTCAGGACCTCATTCTTGCATAGCAAGTGCTCTTACCTACTGAGACATCTCCTCAATCCCCATATCCATGGGGTTTTGTTTTTTCTTTATTTTTGTTTTGCTTTTTGCCTGCATGTATGTCTGTGTGAAGGTGTCAGATCCCATGGAACTGGTATTACAGACATCTGTGAGCTGCCGTGTGGGCGCTGGGACTTGAACCCAGGTCCTCTGGAAGAGTTGCCAGTGTTCCCAACCACTGAGCCATCTCTCCAGTTTCTTTCTTTTTTCTCTCTCTCTCTTCTCTCTTCTCTCTTCTCTCTTCTCTCTTCTCTCTTTCTCTTTCAATCCATGAGGTGTTTGTTTGGTTTTTTGAGACAGGGTTTCTCTGTAGTTTTGGTGCCTGTCCTGGCTCTCGCTCTGTAGACCAGTCTGGCCTCGAACTCACAGAGATCCACCTGATTCTGACTGGTATTAGAGGCGTGCACCACCACCGCCCGGCCAATGCATGAGTTTTTAAGCCTCCCTTATGGAGTAGGAGATAGCAACCAACAGTCAATGGATGGCCCTCATTTGTTCTGTAAGTTGTTAATGGTGAAAACATACTCCTGTAAGGTTAGGTGTTAGTGGTGAAAACATACTCCTGTAAGGTTAGGTTCTTGGTTAGCACTTAAGTCTGTTTTTTTTGTTTTTTTTTTTTGTTTTTTTTTTTTTAAAGATTTATTTATTTATTTACTTATTATGTATACAGAAGAGGGCGCCAGATCTCATTACGGATGGTTGTGAGCCACCATGTGGTTGCTGGGAATTGAACTCAGGACCTCTGGAAGAGCAGCCAGTGCTCTTAACCTCTGAGCCATCTCTCCAGCCCATTAAGTCTGTTGTTTTAAAAGAATCATCCTAGAGATTACTGAGTGTGATTATGAAATCCTTCACCGGAAGTCTTCATGATTTGTTGGGAGCCACTGGACTGAGGTGTCCGGAGGAAGGAAACTCATCCCGACATGGCACTGTTCCTCTTATTTCTCTGGAGAGCAAGGAGCTGGCAAGCCTGTGGACCCGTCTGCACGCTTTGCTCCTTGTTTTGTTTTGCTGGGGAAGGGTAGCACCGATTGGATGGTTTCTGTGCTCTACAGAAAACTCTCAGCAGAGGAGCTAGAGCGGAAGCGCCAGGAGATGATGGCAAACGCCAGGTGGAGGGAGGAGGAGAGGCTGAACACCCTCAAGAGGCATGCCAAGGAAGATGAGCGGGAACGCAGACTGGAGAAGCTGGACCCTCGCTCTGGCAAGTTCATCCAGTAAGTACTTGTTCATGCCTGGCTCCACCTGCACAGGCTCCAGGAGGCCATGCGGCAGCAGACCACTGCCAGGGGCTGGGTGGTGTTTCTCATCTCTCTCAGGAGACCTAGGGACTTAGCTTGGGGCTCCCTTTGGTGCTGCTCCCAGTTTCTAGCCAGGCAGTGGGAGTTTTTATTTGAAGTAGAAGTCATTGGTACTTTTCCCACATCACTGAAATTCTTTGGCCTTCCTTTTAAGTAAAAATTTATGGCTCAGAAAACCTTTTTCCAATAAGACTTGACTTGTTTTCCAAAAACAGATGAGTTTTCCCTTATGGACATTTAAAAACCTTGGTTCCAGATGGAGTCATTTGAAAATTGTCTATGTGGGCTGAAAAAAAAAAACGTGTGTGTCTACAGTTGCTTTCTGACTACAACCCTGGTTTTTCCGATTCTGCCAGAGGTGACCAGTTGAAAAAATGTTCTTTTTTCCCCATTCACCTGTCTCTTCTCTTCCCTAGTCGCATGAAGCTGGAGAGCGCATCTACTTCCTCCCTGGAGGACCGGGTAAAGCGCAACATCCATTCTCTACAGAGAACACCAGTAGCTCTGGAGAAGAGCTTCATGAAAAGATGAAAACCAGTCCCTCTTACTGGTTTTCCTGAATTCTCCAGGGAGGCTGTGGAGTCCTTAAAATTCTCTTTATAAGAGTTCAAATGGCTTCTTCTACAGATGAAAAACCACCACTGTTCAAAGTGCCCCTTGTCCATTGACTCCTGAAACATGGTACATTCTTTAAAAACCAATGTGACTTGATTTGGGGACCCTCAGGACCTTTGGCTGTGCACTGTGGGATTTGACTGTGATCTAATGGTTGGGCACTGGGCTGTCCTGGGGGCTGGGATGCTTGCCACACCTCTTCCCTCCCACCTGAATGAATGGATCAGACCTTCCAGAGACCTCTCTCCACAGCCCAGATAGACTCTGCTTACTGGGATAAATGAGCACTGACTTTATTTAGTAGATCTTCTGACAGAATAGCCAAGTGTCAAGACGAGTCAAGAGAGTGACATAAAACTGGAAGATAAAACAGTACCCAAAAAAACCCCAAATGAACTGTTAAATATTTGTCTTTGAGATGTAATAGTCTAATGTGTATATGTACAAATGTATATTTTATACATGCTTTAAAAAAGCTAGCTTTGTGAGAACATTTTGATTGATGATTTTACTGTGTGTAAAGCACACTGAACCTTAGCAGGAAGTAACACGGGAAGGGGCGTGGCTTGTTTTCTCTCTGCCTCTGGTTTGGGAGGAGCTTTGGGGTGACTGACAGAATCTAGCTGGGGTAGCTAACCTTTTGACATTTGGACATGACTTTGCCCTCTACAAAAGTGTCAGGTTGCATTCATAGCTAAGGACTGGCTTCAGGAAAGACTACCTGCCAAGTATGTAGTCCCCTTTATTTCCTAGAATATGGGGCAGCCCAATGGTGCAGGAAGCAGGACCATGTTGTTAGTATGCTGTGACATAAAAGAAAAGAATGTGGAAGCTATTTATTTCCTGGATACACACACACACACACACACACACACACACACACACACATACACACACTCACACACATATATATTTTTTGTTGTTGTTTTGGTTTGGTTTGGTTTTTCGAGACAGGGTTTCTCTGTGAGCTTTGTGCCTTTCCTGGATCTCACTCTGTAGACCAGGCTGGCCTGGAACTCACAAAGATCCGCCTGGCTCTGCCTCCCGAGTGCTGGGATTAAAGGCGGCCGCTGCCGCCCCCCAGCCCCCAGCTTTGAACATTCTATGTATCGGAAGATGACCTCGAACTTCAGATTTTCTGTAGCACCACACAGCTGCTGCTGCTTCACTGTGTGTCTTTTGAGACAGGGCCCTTACTGGCTCAGGCTGGTCTGGTGGTGGTGGCTGTCCTGCTTCAGCCTTCTGAATGCTGGATTACTGGCATGAACCTCATGCCTAGCTTCCTCGCTTCTCTTTTATCCTGTAATAATTTAACTCAAAATCTAAGACAAGAGCCCAGGGGCCACTCCTGTGTCTTCACTGCCATTACTTTCTCTGTTCTTTCACCAGAAGTCCTCATTAGCCAGGGAACTTCTAGGTTCCCTCTTTAAAATTAAAACAAAACAAAAAGCCAAAAAAATTATTCTATCAAGGCTGACCTTGATCCTCCTATTCCTGCCTCTGGAGCTGTGATTACAGACCTTGTGGCCCTCAGAGGCTCTCTTCACCCACACATTAGTCAAGCCATTTCCTTCTTCTGCCAGTTCCTAATTCAACTTAAAACGTATTTGGATTTTTACTTTTAAAACACTTAAAATGCCGGGCACTGTAATTCTTAAAACCCAGTTTCTCCCCAGAGAATGTAACATTATTCATTTAATCACTTCATCCTGCTGCCCTGTGCTATGGGTAATTATGGCTTTTATTTTATTACTTGGTAATAAAGAGTACATTTATTTTTTTAACTGTGTAAAGAGCGACCGACCACGTGCGCGATGCTGAGTTTTCATATCCCGGCACAAATGTTGACCTGTGGTTTGTGTCGAATACAGAGATCCTTCGTCCACGATGAATTACGTAATAAACCGTGGGTGGTTTACTCAGATTTCGTGGATCAAGAATGAGAAGATTATTAGGATACGCGTCCGCAGGTGCTAGCGGTCTCTAAACTCGACCCTCGGTTTAGAGAAGGCCGGGCGGCAGGTGGGTGGGCGCGCGGCCCATTCATAAAACCTATGATTCCGGGCCTGCTGCTCTGATTGGCTCGGGGGAAGGGGGCGTGGCCGCGGGCGGAGTGCGCCGTCGGCCCAGGGGAGTGGGAAGATCCACGCTTGGGTGGAGCGAGGGGGCGGTCCCTGGCGTGCCCGGCAGGACTTCCTTTTCCCCGGGCCGCGTTATTCCTCTCCCCCGGGGTGGGGATGGTATGTCCCAGCTCCTCGCACGCCGGCCCCTCCACCCCTCCCGAAGCTGGGGCGCTGCCGCCATCTTGGTTACCTCAGGTTGAGGCAAAGCCAAACCCCGGCTTTGGGAGGGCTTGAGCAAGGCGCCTCTCTTATGGGGCGCCTCCAGGCTGCCCATTCCCCGCTCCGTGACTCACTCCTGCGCGTGAACACGGCTGGGTCCCCGGCAGGCCCGGGGAGGAGGGGTGGGCGGGGCGGCCGCAAGCTCCCGGGGCGGGCGCTACCATTCCGACCCGGCAGGGAGGGCCGGGAG